GGCCTACCATCTTAAGGACTCGGAAACACAAAACACGACCCGCTCCCCAGCGCCGTCCAAAGAGCCCAGCCAGTGCTGCTGTATGGAGCTGAGGCGTGGTACCCAGGCACATCCTGGCCCCGCTGGTCTCAGCCATCTCTAGAAGCACCTATTTCATAGGATGAAAAAGACTATTTGACAGTCCATTCGGGCCATTCTCCCAGTCTGGAGGACCACGCCACCCACGACCCTGCACAGGGAGAGCGGCATACCCCCTGCCACTCTGCTACCTGAAGCGCGCAAGATCCGATTCTCCGCCCGCCTCAAGGCGCTTGACGACGCCCATCCCCATCCACTTGCCAGGAGGACGCTCTCACCAGCAGCACCCGCAATCATCAAAGCCGTCAAACGCAAGCACCAAGTGCCACCCGCCGTCTTCCCAACCCGTCTCCGGAGGACTGATAGGCTGCTGCCCTCATGCCCGCGACCAGCCCTAATCAGACCACGGTTCAGCGACGACAGCACGATGCTTCAAACAGCATCAGAAGAAGTCCGCAGCCGAGTTCCGTCAATGGCTGCAGTCGGTGCCACCGGCGACTCTGATTGTGTACTCAGATGGGTCACTGTCCTCAGAGGGCGGCGCTGGATACGGGTATATCATCCACCAGAACAACCGGCCGGTGCTCGATGGCTCCGGCCGACTGGGCCCGGCAGAGGTCTTCGACGCCGCGGCGAACGGAGCTCTAGAAGGTCTCTGGGCAGCCGTCGGCCACCCTCAGGCAACGGCAAACGAGATCGTCGTCTGCCTCGACAACTTGGCAGCTGCGACAGGCCTGCGAGGCACGCCGTCCGACTCCTCGCAAGCAGCCTTCCTGGAGTTCCAGGACATGGCTTTAGCCCACGGCAACACAACAGTTCGCTGGATTCCCGGCCACACGAATATCGCGGGGAACGAACAGGCCGACGCACTGGCCAAGGCAGGATGTTCCCGACCAGCGCCGCCGGATGCTCTCCCAACATTGGCGCACCTGCGACGAGTCGCAAGGAAACAGCCAAGGGAAGCATTGACCGCCTGGTGGACAACTGCAGCTCCCGAGAGATACAAACCTCTGAAACTCAAGGCATCAACGCGCTGCGCCCCGGAACTTGCAACCCCACGTCCAGCCCTGCACCACTTGCTGGCGGCACGGACACACCATGGAGATTTCGCCGACTACCACAGGCGATTCAAACATGCCAATGCGCGACCCACCTGCTCATGCGGACGCCCCAAAGAGCCAAAACATCTCTTCTACTGCAGGAAGATGCCGCCGCATCACCGTCTGAGGCTCGCACCCTCACCGGAGACGGCGGTCAACCAAGCACTAGGAAAAGAGTTTGTCAAGATGGCCGACAACTGCGGCTTCTTTGAGAAGATCTGCCCCCGCTACTAAACGACGTAGCCACTCACTCTCACCTCACTTCCTTCTTCCCCCCCCCTTTTCCCTCCTCTCCTCTCCCTCTACCCGGAGGCTATGACTAAGCACACGCGGCGCTGGGAGCCACCTTCCCCTGTTATTACTTTCTTGGCATGCAGATGTTAAGAAGGTAGCCTGTAGTACACCTTATTCCTTAACAAGGGCGCATTATACCATCCATCCTGCGCTTTGCGCAGCCGTGTAACGGCATCAATGGCTACGGCCACAACAAGCCCGATGAGCGGTCCCAGGATCTTTGATCTGGGATACCGCACTCCGGACAATCTGGATCAGGTAGCCCGCGATCATATCCTTAGGAACAGCCAAGCTACTGCGGAAGCCGAGATACAGCGCCTCCGGAGAGACTTCCGACGCCCGGCCGTGCGATCCTCTCTGCTGATCAATACGACGCAAACTGCACAGCATGCCAATCAACCAACAGCCCATAACTTAGATTAAGCGAATGAGAACCCCCTCTGACTATCGCTGAGACAGCCAACCGAGTTGCCCTAAAAACGGCCCAGATTCACGACACAAAGATTGCGGTGTTTTAGAGCCTTCTGCGCCGCATTCGACGACAGCGCCAAACAATTTACCTCTGGCCCTGCTTTCCGCTTTGCCCAGGCCTTCTCTTCCTGGAGTTCCGGGGCAGCGCATTGAACGGCGCAGCCTCGAAGCCTACCCTCTCCAAGCCATCCTACACTGCCGTCGCCACCAGTGGCCTCGCCGCCGCTCCTGCCTCTCGTCCTCCTTTCCCTGCTGCCCAGGTAAACAGACAGTATCAACAAGAATTCCCTGCCCGTCACCAGGAGCAACCAACCCCGCCAGCCCCGCCCAGAGTTGACCTCCGCGTCTTCATTCGCTTGAACGAAGACTCCCTCTCCTGGGACCGGGAGAGCTATGCTATCCGGACCTACATCGCCGGTCGTCTCGGCATTGAACTCGGCCGCGTCCCGCAGGCATCGCGTACTAAGTCCGGATGGGCTGTCCGCACCGCCGACCTCACCACCCGCGACCTTCTGATACAACGGCAGTGAGATTGGGCCACCAAGGCCGAGGCCAGCCAGAAGTGGTATACGTACATTGTTGACGACTGCCCCTGACACCTCTACGACCTCCAGGGACAACCCGTTGACCAAGAGGCAGCAACATTAGACCGGTCTCGAACCGGTCAGCGTTCGGCCGACCAACTGCCTACCAAGTCCCTTTTATTCTCCTTTCTGGAACCGACCAAAAAGACGATGGCGGCTGTTTGGCTGCAGCAGACTGGCAAGACTGATCATCAAGGCACCTCTGCTGTCGCAGTGCGAGAACTGCTGGGACTACCACTCCAAGTACGGTTGCAACCGCGAAGCTCACTGCAAACGCTGTGGCGAGACCGGCTACGGACACACAGAATGCTCCGCACCGGAGCAATGCGTCAACTGCCTGGCGCCCCACGCCGCCGACTTTCCTATCTGCCCAGCACGCCCAAAAAGGATTCATGGGACGATCCAAAGGCTCACGAAGCCCCAGAGGGATCTGGTCAGACAGAACAACCTATTCCGACAACATAACATGGAGATTATTGCACCTGCTGACGCAACCTCCTCCAGCCCTCATCCACTCATCTCCTCGCCATGCGCGCGCGAACCCCCCGCCACTCCCGAATCGGACGATAGCGAGTCCTCCCAAGGCCTCCCCGTAGCCCCGAAGAGAAGACGACTCGAACCCACCAACAGATCTATGAGAAGGAAGCAAGCAACCCCACGCCGTAGACAGGACCCCCGTATCTTCCAAGCCAACGTGGGCAAAAGCGGCCCATCACACGACTGTGCCCTCGCACTGGCCGACGCAGAGCGATTCGACCTGATACTGCTACAGGAGCCCTGGACTGATGTCAAAGATGGCCGATGCCTCACCAAGACTCATCCCGCCTATGACGCATTCTCCTCGGTGGACTACTGGGACGGCCCCAGCACGCGGCCCCGGGTTATGACATACCTTCGACGCAGCCCTACGTTGTTGGCTGACCAACTCCGGCCCTCACCGTCAAGGGACATGTTGTGGCTACACGTTGATGATACTACCTTTGTGAATGTCTATCGACAACCTGGCGTCCACGAGACTCTCGACCTTCTCGTACAGTGGCCAATTCCCGGTCGATGTGTAGTTGTCGGAGACTTCAACGCCAGACACTATTCCTGGCAAGCGGGAGACACGACCGGTCGCGGCAACGACATCGCGACGTGGGCAACACGGAATGACCTGTCCCTCCTCAATCCACCCAACAAGCCCGACCAACCGGTACGGCAACACCATCGATCTCGCCTTCTCAAACATTCCTCGTGCGGAGGCCACGGTGGAGGACCATCTGGCCACAAGCTCGGATCATTTCACGCTGAGCTTGACCATCCCATCCATGCATCACACCCCTCGTCTGCTCGGCAAGATCCGGGTCACGTCGGACGACGAACTCAAACGAACTCAAACGCTTCGGTGAGATCGTGGAGATGGAGGCCTCCGCTCTTCCTACGCAAACATCCTCCACAGAAGGACTCGATGCCTTGGCAGCATCGCTCACATCCATGCTGCAGTCAGCGGCCAGCAGGGCCGGGCACCTCACCAGGAAAAGGGCACGGGCCGCGCCATGGTGGAATGACAAGTGTGCACTGGCTGCTGCCGGGCATAGATCTATGAGACGCATCTACCCTCTGGGGTATGGCAATGAAGCGCGGCTCGCTAGGAAGAGGCTCCAACGGGTAGTCCGCGATACCGAACGCTTATTCTGGCAAGCACTAGTTGACAAAGTGTCAAGCAATGAAGACATATTCAAGATCACACGATGGACTAAGGCCCGAAGCCCTTTCCAGCCGCCCCCACTACAAGTAAACGGCACCATCTACTAGACAATGACCGAGAAGGCTACGGCTCTTCGCCAGGCAACTCTCGAGAGAAGAGCATCTGGTGACGACATAGAGAATCCCTGGGTAGACGTCTCTCCCAACCAATCTCTGCCCTTCTCCTCACATGTTTCCGCAGAGGAAGCACGGAAACACATCCCCTGGCTCTGATCACATCACTGTAAAGCTGCTGCGAGCCGCGTGGCCAGCCGCGTGGCCAGCAGTTGGGAACCTGGTGCGGGAGCTCTATGAAGTGTGTCTGACGCTGGGGCACCACCCGAAAGACTTCAAGGAGGCTGAGGTTGTCATGATCACGAAGCCCGGCAAGAGAGACCTCACGTCGCCCCGGGCTTGGCGGCCTATGTCCCTCCTCTCTTGGCTCGGGAAGGGACTGGAACGACTGGTGGCGCGCAGACTCACCTGGGCCGCTGTGCACTATGCTGTGCTACACCGTCAGCAAGCCGGAGCGCTTCCCAAAAGGTCGGCGGTAGATCTGGTCGCTACTCTGGTACACGATATCGAAGTTGCCTTTTCACAAAGAAAGGTTGCCACCCTTGTCACAATGGACATTCAAGGTGCATTTGACACGGTCATGAGAAACAGGCTCATCCTCCGCCTCCGCCAGCAGGGCTGGCTCCTACCGCTCATGAAGTGGGCCGCCTCCTTCATGTCAAACAGAGCAGCCCGCGTCCGGTATCAAGATATCACGACCGAGAATGCACCCCTACTATGCGGACTCCCACAGGGTTCGCCAGCATCTCCGATCCTCTTCCTTCTCTGTACCGAGCCCATTTACAAGCTAGGCTTCCAGCTAGGACGGTTTGGCTACGCGGACGACACCGCCATCCTCGGGACCGGCCGGACTCTGAGAGAGACAGCAAAGCTCGCGACAGCTGATGTGCGGGAACTCATCTCCTGGGGTGCGGCGAATGGCATCACCTTTGACCCCGAAAAGACAGAAGTGATGCACTTCAGCCACAAGAAGGACGACACGAGCCCGTCGGTAACACACGGCGGTATTGCCAAGGTTCCAGCAGAAGCGATCCGCTGGTTAGGGATCTGGCTGGACAAGAAGCTGACCTTCCGGACACACATCGAGAAGTGGGCGGCTAAGGTGAAAAAGGTGGCAGGCCACCTACACGGCCTCTGCAATACGAAGCATGGCCCTCTCCCGGCCGCAGTCAGGCGGGCGGTCGAGGCATGTGTCGAGCCCATCCTGCTGTATGGCATGGAAGCTTGGTATACCGGCACTGAGAGCTACACGGCTTGGCACGGCACGAAGTTCGGCCTCAGATTCAGCACTTGGTCGACAAGCTCGACCCCGTCCTCCGCCGGGCTATTCGGGCCATCCTCCCCGTGTGGAAGACCACGCCGGTTCCGATATACCATCAGGAGAGCGGTATCCCTCCCGTGCCCTTGCTTCTTGAGCCCCGACGCATTCGATTTGCAGCACGCCTGAAATCCCTGGACTTGGCCCATCCGCTGGCCCAGCGTACAGACCTGACACCGATCGTACGCGCCGTCAAACGGTCCTGCCAAGTCAGAGGAGGCGGCTTTAAGACTCGACTGGAGCGGACGGCCTTGCTCCTTCCCGATTGTCCCCGACCGACCCTGGTCCAAGCCGGTGACACAGCAGCCACGGCTCTCCAGACGAAGAATAAAGATGAGTCGGCGGCAGATTTTCTCAGGTGGCTCGAGGGAATCCCTCCCGACGAGCCCGTCGTCTACTCAGACGGCTCCCAGCTCCCAGGCGGTGCCACAGGATATGGATATGTAGTCCACCAAAACAGTGTGACCATCTGCGAAGGATCTGGGCGCCTTGGCCCCGCTAGTTGGCGCGCTCGAAGGCCTCCGCGCTGCCGTCAAGATCCCCGACGCATCGGACAACCCGTGTTGGGCAAAATCCACTGAGGGGCTAGACCTCAGTGGACGCGCACCTCTTTAGAGCACCTTGGGCTGATCTAAATCGAAAGACCTGGCGGGAATGTTCGTGGAAGAACTGGGAACCCAGGCAAAATCGAAAGACCTGGCGGGAATGTTCATGAAAGAACTGGGAACCCAGGCGAATTTATGAGCTAAGGCCAGGATGGCCGAGCTTGCGTAAAAAGCCCTACCGTGGGGGTCACGGTAGGCGTCTCTATGTCGCATAGTTGGGGAATGCAGGAGTTGCTGGGAACCGCTATACTGACAATTAATAACAATCAATGGCCGAAATCAGCAGAGTCTCTGAAATCTAGGCTGAAGCTGGTTACGCGGTCATCTTGCCACCCAGGTGGCAATGGTAGTCGTAATACTGCTGCCTAAAGGCAGCAGTATTCCAAAGGTATTAAGGATCGGGGGTTTCCTCGGTGGAGGGAAGGAGAAAAACGGACAACAGAGAAGGGAACACAGTCATGAATGAATATACAAGAATTGGAACGTTTTCTCAATCACTATAGCTAATACACGTCTGAAAACGCGACAGGCGCGCTCGAAGGCCTCCGCGCTGCCGTCAAGATCCCCGACGCATCGGACAACACGATCGTGGTCTGCTTAGACAATCTAGCTGCGGCCACGTGCCTCCGAGGCACAGCATCGGATTCATCCCAACCAGCCTTCCTCAAGTTCCAAGAGATCACCGCCGCACATGGCTCCATCCACGTTCGCTGGATACCGGGCCACACCGACATCCCGGGCAACGAACAAGCCGACTCACTCGCGAAGGCAGGCTGTGCCCTCCCAGAACCTCCAGACGCCAAACCAACCCTCGCGTACATCCGCAGGGTGGCCAAGAAACAAACCAAGGAAGCCTTCCAGGCGTGGTGGCAAGAACATATGCCGGAGAAGTACAAAGAGCTGAAGCTCAAAGCAACCACATGATGTCCGAAGGAACTGTTAATCCCCAGGCCGGCACTCCACCATCTTTTGGCAGCACGAAGCTCCCACGGAGACTTCGCAGACTACCACGAAAGATTCAACCACAAAGACGCGCGCATCACCTGCTCATGTGGCCGGCGCAAGCCCCAGACCAAAACTCTTCTATTGTCGGAAGGTCGGTCCACGGCACCGGATGAGGCTGACACCCTCACCTGCCGCGGCGATCAACCAAGCAGTAGGCAGAGACTTTGACAAATTCATCCAGATGGCGAAGGCGTCTTCCTTCTTCTCAAGGATATGTATGCCCTCGCCACTGAACGGTGAGTGGTAGCATCTCTCTTTTACCTATTTCCTTTGTAAGTTTTGTTGCTTTGTTTATCCGTGACCCCCGCCGGCGAGGGGTGGCAGCCCCTCGTCGGCCACGGTCGCAGCGAGCCGGCCAACACGGCTCTCGAATGAGGTCTTCATTTCGCAAGACCAATTGATAACGCGGTCCTGGCGGCCGCGCCTGTAGATCCCGCTGACGGGTGAAGGGCACGACGTCTGCGCCTTTGAGCCGAATACATGATAAATAGTTGACGGGGAACGAACGATGGAAGTGGGGTTGGGCGAATGCGGTACCCTATGGGATAATCGGTCTCTGTAAAACTAGCCTTAGCACGCCGCTTGCCCTGTATAGGAATCTGTGTGGCTTATGCCTCCGGCGCTTAAACAATCAAATCAAATCAAATCAAATCAAAATTCACCATCATCAATCTTGTTAAAATATGCCAAGAAAGTAGTTATCGTTGCTAATTATGCCATGAGGACTAGGTCCCAGTCATCAATTCTCGTGCATCGACTGATTTTGCCTTGTGGTTGCGCTTGTTTTCTGTCGCGTCATCAGCACACACACTTGACAGCGGTACAACCCGGCCCCAAAATCCACCTTTGATATCCAATCTTCAACATTTTGACGTGTCCCCCATTTCCCAACTCTTAGCGAAGTTGCAGCCGCGAGCTGTAACATACAAATCATTTGGTATTTCACCCCATTCCATTGCCCTCTCTCATTATGTCTACATGGTTCACTATTCTCGCCAGAGTAGCTGAGGTAGATAGAATTTCGAACTCCGCATATCGCAATGCCCTGTATGAGTTCGAGGAAGGCGATAATGACGCCACAGCAGGAGATTCGAGAAGCTTCTATATAGCATTCTACGGTGATCTGTTGGAAGCCGGGAGAGCATATATGATCCGCGGTCAGGCTCGGCTTCCGGGCAATGACGAGGCAGAGGCGCCCAAGGCGAGTATTCTCTGTTTGCTCAGACTCCTTCCTTTGACGCAACTAGATTCTCTACCCGGCAAGTTCTCTGCTGATTGTTGTACAGTTTACCGCATTTGACGCTATTCCATTAATGACGGATCATCTGCCAATACATCGGCTACGTATTAATGCGGCAGCAGAGTTGACTTGCACGCCATTATGGACGGGGCGAGTGGAAGAACGCCCACCGCGCTCAACATGGCCATCGCCGGCGCTAGCTAGCCCGTACTATTGTGACCAGCAAGAAAACGGCGGAGATTAAGTTTGCATGATCGCGTTGCGTCTGAATCACAGGCTATCAGCCACACATTGAGGAAATATTAACAAATGCGAACGGGCAGCAAAAAATAGAGAACTTACCACTCCGCACACCCTCCCAAGTCAAAATTTAAGAGCAGTTGATGCCATGAATATTTAGCAACCAATACCACATAGTCACTTGGTCGACAACGTGGGGAGTCGCCTAAGGAACAAGAAAAGTATATATTAGATCAATATCTCGCCGTTTGTACCTCAAAGCAACGGAGCTGTCATTACGTCTTGCTCCATCAACCCTATCAAGAGAGTGACTTCAGGAGTGTGGTTGGTGGTTGGACTCGCACGCCATGTGTCCGCAACCACAATGTGTACTATCGTCTCGCATCTCCAAATGCTCCCCATCGGAAGTCTTCATTATCTTTGTTAACGGCATTTGGACAAACACCCCATTTTCATTTCGTAGGGGCTGAATATATTCGTCAGCCATATCATCGTGCTTCGTGTCAAAATGGGCAGGGGGTAGATGGCTGTTGCTTGAGTAAGCCGAGTCTTGTTCCTCCATGGTAGCCATGCGGGGTACGTTGTCTGTGTTGCAACTATAATCTTTAATTCTGTTCCCAGGAGACATACTACTTGCTCGATAGAAAGCTCCCTGCGCAAATAGGTTGGACGGCGCGTCATTGTGAAGCCAGATGGAAGGATCGTTATCGCCGAAAATGGCTACATCCGACAGGTAACTGTTTGTGCAGGTGTATTTATTGCCCGTGTCGGAATCGTTGTCATTGTCGTCGAACAGAATGTAGTCCGTGTAGCCATGAAACCCTAGCGTCTTACTACCATATTCTATTCTCGAACACTCCGCAGAGACCGCCTCCGCGTCGCCGAAGATGCAACCGTCATTCTTAATTTTTTCAAAACAAGAACCATAAAACGTAGAAAGATGTGTAGGCGCACTCTTATCCGGATATGAGTCCCAAATTTCGACTTCTGCAAAACTGAAAGAAAGTTCCAGTTCATTTCCTAATAGTATTTCCACCAGCTTTGGGTGCAGCTTGGCCCATTGGACAGAGGACGGGAATATAATGAAGAGTCGGTACATAAAGAACGGAATTCTCTGTACGTCTTCTCCTAGCGTTTCACTGCCACATACCACAACCTCTGACCACCTGTCGCTAACCCAGCGGTCTAGTTCAGGCTTCCAGCGCCTTGGAGGGACTTTCTTTGTGCTTCGGATGTGGCAGAAAACAGCCCTGCCCAGGTAATTTTCATAATTGCCTGTGACGACGTTCAACACACAGCCCATCATCATGAACGTGGGATGGCCGCTCTAGGTATACAGAGGCAGAACTTATGTATTTAAAATTAGAGGAAGAAGGTTTCATAATGTCAGGTTCGTGCCCCCAAGTCTTTCTTGATTCAACGAGGCACCGGGTGCTTCTTCATCTAGGGGAGTCCAGATATTTGGCCGAAAATAAAGAACAAAAATGTAATAACTACATATGAAAGAAGATGTAGATTTTGAGGGTGCAATGTAATGTGTCTGTCTTATAAACCCCTTGCCCTTACGCAACCAGCTGGTGAACCCACCTCGTTGAACCACTTCGTTGCACTACTCATCACCTGGGACGGTGTCCCGTTTGCTATCTGGAGCCACGCCTAAGACTAATAGCTCAAATTACTGGAGAAACTCCTGATGAAGAGTCTCGTAATAGCTTTATGGCCAGTCCCAAGCGTAGAGCCGTGCTTGCCGAACCCGCTATGGAATCCACCTGGCCGAGACTCGTGTAAGGCGCCAAGCCGCCTATCTCCAACCCCCGATACCAAGTTGATTCTGGAACTTTCTGTGGAGGCGTAGTGAGAAGATACAAGGTGCTGTCATAATGCCACAGAGTAAATATGTAGACTCCTTCTTTCTTCTCTATCTTGATAGAAAACAGCTTAGGTGTAACGGGCTGAGCCCGATATGGCTCGGCTTGCACTCTCGCCTTCGGCCCCGGCCCCCGGCCGGGACCCATCCATAAGCGAGATTAACCACGTGTTGAGCTCCTCAAGCTCTCCTTTCCTTGCTCTGTTTTCTCTTTCTTCTTTAGCGTTAAGATACTCGTAGTAGTCGCCTAGCTAGTTGTCAATATACTCAGCTTGGGCCGTTACATTAGGTGTAACGGGCTGGGCCAGAGAATGGCTCGGCTGCGCTCTCGCCTCTATCAACAAGCTGCCAATGAAGAGCTCCTGAAGCTTTCCTCTCCTTATTCTGTTTCTCCTCTTTCCTTGGCTTTAGATACTCGTTTCCAGTCATCCTAGCTAGGTGTCAATATACTGCGTAGCCTTAGAGGTGTTGTCAAGTACCTTTGGTTGATGCGAAAGGCAATGGACATTGTTAAAAACATAACATCCGCCCAATGCCCTCACGCAGTCAAGCTGCCAGACGTGGTGTGTTCTCTTCCTTCAGTATGACCGTCTGATCACTTCGTCCGTAGTGTGTCAGTGCACGGCCTTCGAGATCTGCTCGAAGTCTACCTAAGAGAGGCATCCGTGGAAACCCGTAAGTTACACGGCCAAACTTGATGCGCTCATTTTCCTAGAACCTATACTTACCGACATTGTTCCAATAGTTTTCTTTCCAGCGCAATCTTCGCTGCTTCCATGCCGTCATCTGGCTGGCTAACTTCGTCAAGCCATGGATGATGTAGAGCCTGGGTAGCAGTAATTCGCTTTGCGGGGTCATACACGAAGATCTTTTTGAGCAAATCCAGGAAATGGATGAAAATCTCAGACCTCGAGGGGATAATAGCCTATGGGGGAATAGTTATAAGATCGTCACTCTACAATTGGCAAGATAGTTGTCGGACCTACTTCAAGTTGTTTCATCGCTTTAAATGCCGTCACAGACTCTGGTGTCGTGTCTGGATTAGGATAGTTAAGATCGAGGTTTTTGAAAAATCTAAGCGCGTTAGCACAAAATTGAACCCAAAGTAGACATGCCAATTGCGATGCTATCATATTGAACCTAGAATAGTTGATAATATAGGCTGAGTACAGTTTTGGGGATGGGCAACAAGCAGAGTCGTCAACGGAAATACTAAATGTAGGCTTCGATCTAATAAAATATGAATTGTCTGTTTTCCTTGGTATCGCTAATACCCTTTGACTCGCAGGCGGGGCAAGGGACACGCCAAAGGGAAATTGGAGATGCATTCTCAACTGCTCTGTAATTTGTATTAATAAATCTAAGTAACTAACAAAAATTATGTATAAATTTTGGTCAAATTCGTGAATGTGTGATATGCAAAGGTTCTCATTATAGTGCTAATCACACGGAGAATTTATACCCTATACAGAGTTAGCACTGATTGTCGAAAGCGTATATGGCCGGCATTACCAAAATATCCCTCAAGTTCATTCATTGCTGCGGCGTACTTGGAATATGCCATAACTCTCT